CTTCGGCTCGGGTCATGATCCCAGGGTCCTGGGATCGAGCCCCACATCAGGCTCCCCGCTCCACGGGAAGCCTGCTTCTCCCTCTCCCACTCCCCCTGCTTGTGTTCCCTCTCTCACTGTCTCCATCTCTGTCAAATAAATAAATAAAATCTTAAAAATAATAATAATTAAAAAAAATAAATTCTCTTGTTTTAAATAACCCAGGTTGTGGTACTTTGCTCCAGTATCCTTAGCAAATCCATACACTCTCCAAACACATGCTGTGCTCCTCAATCCATCCTGAGACCATTTCTTCCTTTTCACTGGCTGCTCATACAGTGCTCCCATCATGGAGACTCCCCAGCTCAAGAACATGCCTGGGCTCCCTCATGCCTGTGTATCAGACCTCCAGTCTCCCTGGCGCCATGCTCATTCCTACCTTCCCACTATTGCCCAGACTGTGACAATCCTTGGTATGCCTGCCCACCTTTTGGTTTCGTAACCAAATCCCATCCACACTTCAGGCCCTAGTTCAAACTTCTTTGATTTCCTCAGCTTTACAGGGCATCTTGTTTTTTTGTTTTGTTTTGTTGCTGGGAAGGGAGTAGGTTTAGAGGGGACCTAAAGATGAGTGAGGGGCACCCGGCTCGCTCAGTTGGGGAGTGTGCGACCCTTAATCTTGGGGTCCTGAGTTCAAGTCCCATGTTGGGAGTAGATTACTTAAAAATAAAACCTTAAAATAAATAAATAAATAGATGGATAGATAGATAGATAAATCAATAAATAAGAGTGGGACAGTCCCGCCCCAGAACAAAGGGACACAAGTAACTCACAGAGCAGGTGCCTTCTTCCATAGACTTGGCTCTTCCCAAGTCCCATCCTCCCACTTTCCCCCAACAAACTTCTGGAACATTCCTTGGGGCAAAGTCCAGGGCAGGGCCGCGTCTGTGTCCCCCATGCCTGGCACACCAGCTGGCACAGGAAATGCTGGTGCGATAACAAGTGAATGTATGAAGGGCAGTAATGACAACATCGCTATTTCCCATGTGTAAAAAATACTGTATGGCAGGTATGCATGGTTGAGTCCCCAACTGTGTTCGATCCATATTTCATCCCTGGAGGAAAGACACATTAATTACCACTGTCTCCACTTTAGAGATAAGAAAATGAAGCTTGGAATAGCACAGTCACTTGCCCAGGCCCCACAGTTAGGTGGCAGACAGCAGACTGGGACCCAGTGGTTGGTGAACAACTGTAGGGGGGTCAACAAGGAGGGATCTCTGTCCTCAAGGGCCTTGGGGTCTTGTGAGGAGGTAGGACTAAGACCCGGACACAGTGAGGTTGAGTAGGTGTGGTACCAGCTCCTCTCCCCGCTTTTTAGATGGTGGGGGCAGACGCAGGAGCAGGGCTTGGGGGGCTACCGTGTGTTATCAGGGACTATGCCAGGCATTCCTGCCTATCATCCCATTTAGATCTCCCTGCAGTCTTGTGAAGTAGAGACTGTTATCATTCGAAACCAATCCAATTATAACAGTAAACACAATAAATATAAATGGACTAAACTCTCTAGCTAAAAGACAGACAGTTAAGAGCCCCCGGAAACTCTGGGGGCAATGGACCTGTTTTTTATCTTGCCTGTGGTAATTGTTTCAAGGGTATATACATGTTAACACTGATCAGACTGTCCGTTTTATTTTATTTTATTTTTTTAAAAGACTTTATTTATTTGAGAGAGAGAGAGAGAGCACAATCAGGGGAAACCACAGGCAGAGGGAGAAAAGCAGGCTCCCCGCTGAGCAAGGAGCCTGATGAGGGACTCGATCCCAGGACTGACCCTGGGATCATGACCTGAGCCGAAGGCAGACACTTAACCAACTGAGCCAGCCAGGCACCCCATGTTCCATCCATCCTGTATGTGGCTACTAAGCACTTGAAATGTGGCTGGTCTGAATACAAATGGACTATAAATGTAAAATACACAATAGACTTTGAAGATTTAGTGTCGAAAACTTTCTAAAATATCTCATTAATGATTTTTATATTGATCGTATTAAAATAATATTTATAATATATTGAATGAATATATTAAAATCTTTGTAACTTGTTTTCTTTTACCTTTTTTTAAATGTGGCTACTAGAAAATTTAAAATTATATAGTGGTTTACATGATATTTCTAGTGGACAGTGAGTGGCATATTAGAGCCTGGCCCAGCCCAAATCTGGCCAGCTGCCTGTTGGGGAAAATAAAGTTTTATTAGAGCATGGTCCACCCACTCCTCTTTACCGCATTCCTGCTACAACAGCAGAGTAGTTGCGACAGACTGTCTGGTCCAAAAAGCCTCAAATATTTACTCTCTGGCCCTTACAGGTAAAGTTTGCCAACTCCAGCTGTTCACTGGACTCACTGGAGGAACTTAAACTTAAGCCCAGGGTGCATCGCAGACTCTGCTGTAACTGGTGTTGGGTGCAGCCTGTAGGATTTTTAAAGCCCTGTGGGTGATTCCAGTGAGCAGTGAGGGATGAGAACTAACTTGATTAAAAAATTCTCAGGACAAAGGGGCAACAGAGAAAATCAAGTAATTTCTAATTACCCCACTTGATCACATGGATCAGGACACAAAGTAAATTCTGAGCTTCCTAGCAGCCAAAGCAAAAAAGGGAAATTGCTTAATATCTGAAAGGTAAGATAATTTTGGCTATTTTGGAGAATAAAATATGCTTCTTGCCATTTATGTTGGATGGACTGCCAGACTTTTCTTTTTCTTTTTTTAGGACTTCATTTATTTGAGAGAGAGAGAGAGAGAGCACAAGCGGGGGAAGGGAAGAGGGACAAGCAGACTCCCCGCTGAGTGAGGAGCCCGACACAGGGCTTGATCCCGGACCCTGAGATCATGACCTGAGCCGAAGGCAAATGCTTAACTGACTGAGCCACCCAGGTGCCCCTGAGTTGCCTGACTTATCAAAGGTGATTGCCCTAGACAAGTTCTGGGCCCATCACCTGCCTCCTTCTGACCATCCCACCATCCCACCCAGCACAGAGGCTGCAAGCCCCAGACAACTGACCACCCAGAATGGGAGGGGCCATGACGAGGCCATGCTGAGCTGTCTGGCCTGGCCCATAGCCTCCTCCCGAGGACCACAGCTGCCTCTGCACCAGGTGGACACAGAAACGTGAGCGGGAAAGGTGCTGGACTTACTGATGGATGGCTTGGAGGAACTTACGCTGGTGTTTCCGAACCCGGGCGTGGTCTGGCTTCTTCACCAGCCTGGTGTGTTTGTAGATGAGCCACGTCTCCCTGAGAACGTTAGCAGCGGCATTTTTTACCTGGGCCCAGAAAAAGAACAGTTTCTCAAGGTAGGCACAAAACTGCAGAAGGTTCTGGAAACTTCCAGAAACTCTCAGAAACTCCTGGACATGCCTCTCTGGGGTCCTGGACGTGTAAGGTGAGGCCATGTTTACATGTCCACATCTGTGCTCTCTGGGTCTGTGTGTGTGTGTGCATTTCATTTATATCATTCAGCATGGGCCAGACCCTTCCTATACACCTTGCAAATGTTAAATCAGTGAATTTGCACATGCTGGTATCTCTCTCACTTTATACAAGGGGAAACTGAGGCACAGAGAGGTTGACCAGCCAAGGTCAGACAGCTCATAGATTGTATCTGGCTGACTGGCCCTAAAATGCCTGCCTCTTGCTGTGTGGCTCAGGGTGGGCCGATGACTGGGCACATGGGTGGACACCCAGGGCCACTGCCCTGTCTCTGTGCGTGGCTCATGAACATTCGCATGGGCGGCAGAGCACGAGGCAGTGCAGTGACCTGTGGGCTTGTGGACATGCCCACTGTGTACAGAAGTAAGGTGGGGAGGGTCTGCCCTTGATGACTGGGAAAGGGAGTGGCTGTGATGCACGTCTTTACCCGCTTGGTGAGCTGAGTGTCCATCATGAAGTTGTGCACATGTTTCTCTGCCTTGGTGAGCTCCAGTTTCCGGGCCACAACGGCCACCACGAGCGCTGTGCAGCCAGCCCCCTGCATGTGGAGGGTGGGGAACACATCAGTGTCCTGCCTCATGTAGGTCCCAGGCCACAGGCAGGACACCCTCCCTCCTCCGGGAAGCCTGCCCTGATTCCACCCTCACCTTTACCCTCCAAGCCCACAGAGCTGGCAGATCCCACCTGTTGAGGTCACTGACTCCCGGCCCCACCTGCTTACCATCAAATGTCTCATTTGATCCCCAAGAGCCCTGGGAGGTAAGACCATTCTTATCCCCGCTGGGCAGAGGGGGAAATTGAGGCTCAGAGACAAGAAAGGGAGAAGAAAAGGAAGGATCTGCAGGTAAATTCAGCACTGATGACCATGGAGGAGGGAGAATTTGGAAGCATTTCCATCAAGGCTTTGGGGTCTGGGTGCTGGGGACAGAGACCCAGAGGACATGTCTTTCTACACTCATGGTAGGGGTCAGCTGGCAGGAAGAAGGCAGCGTGAGGGAAGGGTCAGGCTGACTGCCTGGCGGGGGTGGCATTTGCAGGTAGGAAGAAGCAAAGTGGAGGTCCCAGGAGGTGAGGAAGTGGAGGGGAGGATGCCTCTCCCATGGCAGGCTCCCTGCTTGATGCAACCACGTTCCCCAGGATGCCCTAAATGGCAGCCAGACCTCCTGGCTAGTGAAAGAGGTCAGAGAGGACTCACTTGTCTACTGGGGGGCAGCCTAGGGGTGACAGAAGGGCAGGAGTGAGGACCCAAGAGAGAGGAGAGGGCTGACAGGTGGAGGGGGGCAGCAAAAAGTGACATGGGGAGGGTCTGCCACCAAGAAGCAGGGGCCAGGGAGCCTAGAACACCCAGGAGGTGTCATCAGCTCCAGAAGTGCCCAAGGCAGGTGGCAGGAGCAGGTGAGGCCAGGTGGTCCCCAACTGCACCGAAGTCTATTCCTGGTGCCTTACCTGCCAGGCTGCTACCTCTAAGAAGGAAGGAGGGAGAGGCTGGCCTCAGCCCCTGGGGCTTGGGGGGCGGGGAGCCGGGGTGGGGGGTGCTGGGCTGTAGTTCAGTTGTTCTTAGGGATGGAAGGAAACACTTATGGGGAGGGGTGGGCAAGGGCCAGGGACACCATTGGATGGTCCTGGGCAGGTCCGGATGGCCACATGCCCAACCTGGGCGGGATGGGCACAAGGTCACCCTCTGAGAAAACCCAGTCATGGGTTCCTGGGGTCCGATCTTGGAAAAAGCCCTGTCCACTGGGGCAAAGAAAAGTGCTGGAAGCCTCCACATGGAATACTATGCATGTGGAAAAAAAGGTCATCTGCCGGCTCTGCATAAGAGCATGGAAACCATGTCCGGCCAAAGATGCCGGGCTCAGAGGGGCCACACTGGGATGCCCTGAAGTGCAAGAACAGGCAAATGCATGGTTGCTGAGATACTGGGAGGGGCAGTGACCGGGAGGGGACACACTTGGGCAAGGGTGGAAGAGGAGAGAGCTAACAGAAGGGCTCGAGACCGGGGCACCTGGGTGGCGCAGTCAGTTAAGTGACTGACTCTTCATTTCGGCTCAGGTCATGATCTCGGGGTCCTGGGATCAAGCCCCGTGTTGGGCTCCGTGCTCAGTGCAGAGTCTGCTTGTCCCTCTCCCTCTGCTCCTCTCCCTGCTCGTGCTCTCTCTTTCTTTCTCTCAAAGAAAGAAAGACAGGACAGCTGGAGACCGACCCAAGTGTGACTGCTCGTGTGTGCGCCAGGTGCGAGGGCAACTAGCAAGATTTGCGGGCCACACACAGATCTCATTTTCTGGAAGGAGCCAGGTCCCAGAGAATGGAACTCAGCTTTTCTTCCATTTTGGCTTGGGCTTTCTGGGTTTGACCTCACCTTGCCCGAATACTTTTCTTTGCTCATTTTGCAAAGTTCATCTGCTTGTTGTGGGGGTTGGACTGTGGCCGATCTTTCCCCTTTCCCCCTCTCGCAAAATAACGTAAACAAATCGGTGTGATGCCATTTCACAAGACAGGGGCCATGTCAGCTTGGCCAGGGGAAGGGAGGCCCTGGTGGGGGGAGGAAGAGGACAAGGACCCCTGGCTTATGCCCAAATGGCTTAGAGGGGATGAGGGGTGAAGAGGGGACAGAGCCACGGGCCTCGGGGGATAGTGACAACTGAGCAGTCTACAAGCCACGAAACAGGATGGGTACAGCCACTGTGAGAAGCCCTCCCGTCTGCAGTAGGAAAGGACACTGTTGTGGGGAAGGGGTCTTGTTTTCGCAAGAACAAATGCATCTCTCTGTGCAGAGATAAGGAAGGATACACTCCAAGGAGTGGCCTGGGGTGGACCCTGAGGGTGGGATCAGGTTGGCTTCTATGGCCTACTGGTGTTCATTGATTTTCACAACTGAACATGTTATTAACTGGGCATTGGGGAGAGGAGTAGGGGACCGTGCACCCAACAATTCGTAATCCAAAACATGGAAAAGCATTTGTGAAGGAGGTGGAAGTTTGGAGAAAGAAGCTTCCAGAAGGAAGGGATGAACAGGAAAACTGAGGATGGAATCAGGGAAAGAAGGTGCTCCATATCAAAGGCGGCCCACACTCACAGATGGCCTTGAGTAGTCTTTGGGGGAGATGGGGTGCTGCCAGGGTCTACTGAGTCACATGAGACAAACTTCACACCATCAGGGCTCAGTGGGGTGCTTGGGATACCCCAGTAGTCAGGCAAGGATGGGGAACTGGGTTGTGATGCACAACCCAGAGGGTGTTGACTGGCTGTCCACAGCATTCATGATTCTAGGCATTTTATATAAAGGAACAGACTGGAACCTTACAATGAGCAGAAGTGGGCACTGGTTACAGCGGGGGAAACTGAGGCATGGAAGCATCAAGCCCCTAGCCCTGGACCCAAGGGCTGTGAATTAAGCAGGTTGCAGAGAATAAAAGGCAAAGAAAACTCTGTGCTAAGAGTGGGCCACAGCATCTAACCCCGTGGGTACCAAAGGAGCCCCATACCTAGGGCTGGAAGGAACCAAGAAGAGATGCCCCCAGGAAGCCCAAGGGTGCAGATTCTGAGGTAAGGGGGGGGTGGTGAAGGGGCAGGATGACACAAGGAGGAACTCTGATGCATTATAGCTCGCAATGGGGTGAGCTCCCCACCAGCAGGGGGTATGCAAGGGCCCTTGCCCTTACCATGATGCCAGTGAGCAGGCACACGCCCTTCCCGCAGTAGGTGTGAGGCACCATGTCACCATAGCCGATGGAGAGGAAGGTGATGGAGATGAGCCACATGGCCCCCAAAAAGTTGCTGGTCACTTCCTGCTTGTCGTGGTACCTGAGGGGAGCCAGGGAAGGCCCAGTCAGTCCACACTGGTCTCTCTGAGTTCATCATCCCCCTGGGGCAGGCAGCACCAGGACACCAGGGCCCCAGGTCCACCCGGCCGTGTGGGGACCTTGACTGCAAGAAGCTGATCCCTCTGAGGGCTCAAAGTAATAAAGGCACCACTGTGGGCCAGGGAGAGGGGGCTGGTTAGCATCTTCCCAAGGGTACCATGGGGCAGAAGGCACCCACGCCCTCCTCCCAGCATCCCTTCCAATCTTCTCCCTTCACCCCCACCCTGAGCCCAGGATGTGTGCCCTCCCCGGCCCTGGTTATGGGGCAGAGCTGGCCAAGTGAGGGTATGTCCACACGTGTGCACACGATCCCCCTCCCAAAGACAGACACACAGACATATGCAGACACAGGTGGCCACGGGCACCAGAAGCGGCAGGGAGTAGAGGTAAGGATTCAGGTCAGACACCGGGAAGAACTTCCCCAGCCAGCAAGGCCCCATGGGGGGAAGAGGACCACTGGGGGACCCAGGAGGCTGGAGGACTGCAGTATTGCAGGACTTGGGAGAAAAAGGGAAGTCGTTATGTTTGGGGCAGCACCCATTACCCCAATCCGGGCCTGGGGTTTGCTTGGGAGTGAGGAAGGAGGGGGCAGCTTGACACTGTGGGGAGGCCTGGGGCTAACCTTTTGGTATGGGGGGCCCCAAGGGACAGGGTTTTGTCCCTGATCATAGCCAACCCTGTGAACCTGGTCACGTGGGCTACAAACACGTTCTACCAATGGTCAGCCCAGGCTGGGGGTCTGCGGGGTCAGCTCAAGGGTTCTGCTCTAGCCCAGCCCCCAGCCTGCAAAACCCCTCCAGCTCAGGGAGCCCTTTCCAGGTGACGGACTCCTTCCCAGGCCTCAGGCCCTGACGGGGCGGGGGGGGGGGGGGACTTCAAGGTTAGAGGTCAATTGAGGTGGCACAGAGGTGGTGGGCAGGACAGGGGAAGCTGGTGGGGAGGGCTGGAGTCAGGGGCTGGAGAGGGGGAGATGACAGAGGCCCCGAAGGCGGATGGGAGCGATGGAGCCCTTCCCAGCAGGTCTGGTGTTTGGGAGTCCCTGCCCACCCCTGGGTGCCGGATGCCACTCCAGGGCCCTCTGCCTGGGCTGCAGTCTGCTTGCTGGGTGAGGGGGACCTGGGACTGAATCCTATCTTTCACTGAGGCGCCTGAGCCCCAGGTTACCCTGGTCTCCACCTCTTGGTCAACCAGCATCCCACACCCAGGGGACAAGAGAAGAGGGAGGCCCCCCAGCAGTGGGTGGGGGAGCCCCAGGCCTGGCTGGAGCTGTGGTGGGGGCTGCAGGACCACCCAGAACTACCTAGGACCAGGGAGTGGGGGGCATGCGGGAGGCAGGGTGGGGGTGGGACAGAGCCGCAGGGGCGGAGCGAGGCAGGCGAGGGGGCTTCAAGCAGCATCATAGGGCTCAGAATTTAGGATTGGCTGCCCCCCCGGTCCTGCCCCGTTCCCTGCCCCAACCCGGGGACCCCTGCAGTGACCCAGACTGCACCTCAAGGATGCCTGATGAGGGGTGCCCTCTCTCACTTCCCAGACCACAATCCTGACCCCCCCGACAGGGTGGGGGATTGGCTGTGGGTACTGGCATGGGGGTACATCAGGGGTCCAAGGAGACCCTGTTGGGTCCCGAGATGGTAGGCCTCGATGACAGCAAGAGCTGGGGCCTCTCCGCCACGAGACCCACATCAGGCTGAGGCAGGAGCCATGGAGAGAGGCATAAAGGGGTGAAGACTGGGGTCCTGGGGGGCAGGTCCAGCCCAGAGACCCCCCAGGAAGCCCAGTCCCAGCACCACGTGCCACAGACCCCTCCAGGGCCTTCCCCAGCAAGGCATGAGGTAGAAGAGGCTCCTTCCCAGGCAAGGCACTCCCACGCCCTGAGAGGCCCAGTGGGGACCCTCCTTTTCCTGAAGCACCCTGCGGGTCTCCAGAGCCGACCAGGAATCAGGCCTCAGGAATGTCCCTTTGCCCCAGAGTCTCCATTTCCTCATCTGTAAACTGGTTTGATGGCCCACACCTTTCCAGGGCTGTTCAGAACAAACCCCGGGCAGGGAGAGGTACTAAAGGCTGGGCCAGTTTTTATTTACCCCAGACCCAGTCAACTCTTGGGAGGGGATGTCCCAGTCCCCCAAGGTCAGCTGTCCAAACAAAACCCTCCCAAACCTTGGACACAAGACCCTCCAGGATGCCCAGTGGACACGGCCCAAGAGCAGCCTGCCTCCCGCTGTCCTCCGCCCGACCCCAAACTTGCCTGCCCCGGCCCTGCTGGGACTCGGGGTTGGTCACGACCACCCCGCCTCACCTCCCTATGCCCTCCCCTTGCGGCAGCTAATCTTAAATTCCTGGCGGGCAGGACGGCAGCAGCTCTGTGCACACAGCTCGGCCAAGGGTAGGACTCACATGTTTTCCCTACAGTCCGGTGGGGCGGGCAGAGGGGAGAAGGAGAGCAGGTTAAACTGTGGGGGAAAACAGGCAGATGGGGGCCATCCTGCTCCTGCTGCCTCCACTCTCCCCGGGCCAGAGCTCAGAGGTCGGCTGCTGGCAGCCGAGGAGCAGAGAAAGGAGCACAAGACCCCCCTCCCTGGGGGAGAGGGCCGGTGTCCCAGAGGGGTGTGGGTGTGGGTGGGGGTGTGGGTGGGGCACGCCAGGCTGGAGTCCCGGGGATGAGGGGGCTGCGCTCGAGGGATGGTCACTGAGGCCAGGAAGTGGGGGTAGGGGGTGGATATCCCATGGGTGGGTGGGGTGGGGGGGTGATGGCCGGGGGAGCCCTGGGGCTCTGGAGCCACGGGTGGGCGCGGCGGGCGCCAGGGGCGGGGGGCGTACCTCTCACAGACTCGCACGGTCCAGGCGGCGATGATCCAGGAGGAGATGCTGAAGACGAGCAGCACGGTGCCCGGGCAGATGGTCATGAGCGTCTTCATGACGAAGCGTGTGTTGAAGGTGATCTTGTTGAGGGCGCCGATGCTGCGGCTGGAAGCGTCTGTGAATATCTTGCTGTGCAGCAGCATCACGCGGCCCAGCAGGTAGAGGCGCAGGAACATGGGCACGGACAGCAGCACGTCCACGTCGGCCTCGGCCGCCGACGGCGCGTACGTGAAGGCCAGCCGCGCGGTCCACGTGAAGCGGTAGTGGCCGGGCACCGGGTGGATGGCGCACACGGCGAGCTCCAGAGAGATGAGGAAGACGCGCTCGCACGTCATGGCGATGCGCCAGTCGTCTGCCCCGTTGTCCACCATGAACAGCTGCGGAGGGCGGGCGGTGGTGGGGCTCGCACTCGAGCGCGCGCCCCCGCGACGAGACCCCAGCCCGAGGCCGCCCCCCCGCCCCGCCCCCGCGTGGCTTTTACAAGAAACATGGCCTTGGATGCGAAACTCCCTAGCTCGCGGGGTTAGCCACAATTCCAGTTAAATGGGGGACGGGCGCTCCCGAAAAAGGAAAACAGAGTCACCAATGACCCAGCCAGCTCACTCCTAGGTATATAACGCAAGAGAGATGAAAACAGGCATTGGAACAAATCCCTGTAGGCGAACAATTGTGGAAAGTGGGAACAACCCAGGTGTCCGTCTATGGATGAATGGAAAACCAAAACGGGGTCCTTCCATACAATGGAACATTATTCAGCCCTCCGGGGGCGCCTGGATGGCTCAGTTGGTTAAGTGTACGACTCTTGATTTCGGTTCAGGTCATGACCTCGGGTGGTGAGATCGAGCCCTGCACCAGGCTCTGTCCTGGATGTGGGGTCTGCTTGAGAGTCTTTCTCTTCCTCTCCCCCCACTCTCTCTCTCAAATAAATAAAATCTTTTTTAAAAAGGGGGGGAGGGGGAGGGGTGCCTGGGTGGCTCAGATGGTTAAGCGTCTGCCTTCAGCTCAGGGCATGATCCCAGAGTCCTGGGATCCAGCCCCACATCAAGATCCCTGTTCAGCAGGAGTCTGCTTCTCCCTTTGACCCTCTCCCCTCTTGTGCTTTCTCTCAAATGAATGAATGAAATCTTTAAAAAAAAAAAAGGGGGGCGGAGATGAGCTCTGATACTTGCTACAACGTGGAAGAACCTCATAAACATGCTGAATCGAAGAAGGCAGTCACAAAAGGTCACCACCCAGAGCCAAGGGGGCAACGCGGCCACCCCAGTGGGCTCAGAAGCTGGAGCACTGAGCCCAAGAGGATTATTCTTGAGCAAATCTGATGGAATTTGCCTTGCTAGCTCTTTGACATGCTCAGCACCTGGCACCTTTTCTTCTTTCGGATTTCTCTTTAGGAATGGGAATGTCTCGCCTATTCCTGTCCCAACCCTGTATTTTGGGAGACAATGACTTGTCTGGCTCTCGGCTGGAGAGGAAGTGAGCCTTAGTCTTACCTGTAACTGATACTTAACGGAGTCTTGCGACCTGGAGCTGGTGCTGGGATGGAGTAAGACTCTGTGGGCTGTTGGGATGCAGTAAATGCACTTTGCTTGGGAGGAGGACAGGAACTTGGGGGATGGGCTGGTGGGTGGAGTGTTCTAGACTGTCCCTCAAAATTCATAAGTGGAAGCCCTAACTCCCATTGTGACTGTATTTGGAGAGAGAGCCTTTAAAGAATTAAAGTTAAATGGGGTCATCAAGGAGGGGCCCTGATCCTACAGGACTGGTGTCCTCTTAAGAGGGCCACAGATGTGCACACACAGAGAGAGTGGAGAGGACACAGGGAGAAGGCGGCTGCCTACAAGCCTAGGAGAGGGGCCTCAGCAGAAAGCAACCCTGCCAGCACCTGACCTTGGACTTCTAGCCCCAGAACTGTGAGAATATGTTTCTGTTGTTTAAGCCCCTTGGCTGTGGGGCTTTGTTATGGCAGCCCAAGCACACTCACACAGTGCTTCATTTTTTGTTTTTGTTTTAAAGATTTTATTTATTTATTTATTTATTTATTTATTTATTTGAGAAAGAGCGCGTGCATGTGCACACCCATGAGCAGGGGGTGGGGCAGAGGGGGATGGAGGGGGAAAGAATCTCAAGCAGACTCGGTGCTGAGCTGAGCATGGAGTCCAACTTGGGCTTGATCTCACAACCCTGAGATCATGACCTGAGCCAAAACCAAGAGTCAGATGCTTAACCGACTGAGCCAGGTGCCCCAGGGCTTCATTTTTTTTTTTTTAATGGTTGAATCCTACTCCATTGTATGGACATTCGACATTTTACTTATCCATCCACCAGCTGATTTGGATCGTGTCCGCTGTGTCCGCCGTTCGTTCGGTTATTGTGAATAGGGCTGCTATGTACACACGAGTACAAGTTCCGTGTGGATGTAGGTTTTCATTTCTCTTGGATGTGGTGGAATCACTGGGTCGTATGGTACCTCCATGTTTCACTGTATGAGGAACTGACCGTTGCCCCCAGCTGCTGTACCTTAAGAACTGCTTCCTTCCAGCTCACGTATCACTGTCCCCTCCCCTGCCCCCAGCCACGTCCAGGGCCCTTCCTTCGTGCCAGACCCTGGGTGTCCCCAGGGATGTCTACGGGTGGTGCAACCCAGGCAGGATTTTCCTACACCCGTCTCCCGCCAGACCATGGCTCCTTGAGGTCAGAGGTCAGAGGCCAGAGGCCAGACTCTGGAGCCAGACCTGATAGCCTTTGGCATCCCCAGGCCCTGGTACCAGCTGCAGGTGACCTCTGCCTGCTGTGGGCACAGGTGCCCAACATGCCCTGCCTGAGCTGGGCTCTCTGGGGCCCACCGAGGTTTCAATTAACTCCTGAAGTAGGAGAACAAACTCTCTGACATGTAATAAACCTTTCAAATGCAGGGTCTGATCGAATAGGAACAGAAGCCTGGTGTTATAAACACTGGTTTCCAAGGCTGCCAAACCTCAGAAGACCCCAGCTCATCTCCAGCTCCCTCACTGTTCTTCTTCTTTTTTTTTTTTTTCCAAATAATCAATGAAAAGTAAAACATAGGCATTCCAAAGAAATTTGGAGTGATCTAAAGGGTGTGTCTTCACAGAGGTCTTTTTTCCTTTTTTCTAGAAAGACGCTATTGGTCCTTTTATGTTTTAGGGGGCTAGGGTCCCAGGTGGCTGGCGTGGAGGGGGGTCTCTGGGGCATGGGGAGGGGAGCTGCCCGGGCCAGCTGGGCACTGACCTGGATCTCCCGGGCATGGTAGAGGACGACCAGGCCCAGCAGGATGACCGTAGAGAGGCTGATGAGGCATTTGAGTGCAAATGAGTACAGGGACTCCTGGGCAGAGAGAGAGAGCAGAGGGCTGGAGGACAAGGATGTTGGGGGGTGGGCGGCCCTCCTGACCCCCCACCTGGGCTGTCCACTCAGGAAGCCATGCTCCTGTCCTTACTCCTTAGGCCTGGGGTGATGGCAAGGCTGGCCTATACTTTGCAGCGTATAAGGCCTGGCCTCCTAAAGGCCTACCATGTGGCAATTTATGAGGCCTGGCCTCGTGTAGGCACAGGAATTCACAGTTTATACGGCCTCATCCACCTTCACTGTTTCATAGTTTACAGGATGATATGCCCTCATCTCTCTCTGTCCTCACACGTCCTTGGGTGGCATGAGGGGACACATAGCCAGGCTCATAACCCAGCCCAACCACTCTCAGAAGGAGAGGCTCTTTCCAGGCTCTGCCGCCCAGGCCTTCTTTGGTGCTCTCCTGTCCCAGGCCTGGCCTGGGGGACAGCCCCCCTCCCCCACCTTAAGCCAGGGTGTGACCTCTTGGTGCAAGGGCAGAAGGAGTGGGCTGGAGCCTAACTCCCCCATGTGCAGCTTGCCTGCTACCCCCAGGAGGTGGGCGCAGTGGGAGGCCCAGTTTCCCATCACCGGCCTCTAGGGCCCCCCACCCCCAGCATCCTCCACCTGCTTCTCCTGCGGCCAATGTGGTCCCTAATCCCATGCGCAAGGGGTGGTGGGGGAGCCAGGTGGGCCTAGAGGGGCCCCCCTGGGGTGCCGTGGGGAAGGGCCGTGCCTACCTTGGTGTAGACCCCCCAGGACAGCTCCGTCTCGGTCACCATCACAACGATGCCGAACATGCCGAAGATGAGGGCGTAGTCGCTGAGGCGTTTCCGTTTCTCAAAGAGTGCCCGCCGGTGGCCCAGGCGGTGGCCGACGTTCGGGGTCTTCCCTGAGTCCCTCCTCCTGCCTGCCTCATCCTCTTCATCGTCTTCCTCATCTTCCTGGTCCTGGTGCTGCCCCCGGGGACTGCCAGGTGAGGGCTGGGCTGGCTCGCCCTTGGCCACCACCACCTGGAGGCTCGGGCCATGTGGGGGCTGGGGGGCGTGGCCGGCCTCGGGCTCTGAAGGGTCTCTGCCCAGGGCACCCGGCCCACTGCCCAGCGGCCGCCCCCCGCAGCCATTATGGCTGTGGACGTGGCTGTGGCTGTTCATGGCTATGTGGGTGCCGGGCTTGGGCTCGCTGTAGGCCGCCCGGGGCCCAGCATGGCTCAGAGACTGGGCTCCTGCACTGACCTGAGGGCATAAGGGACACAGTCATGGCAGGGCCTGGCCAACTGACCAGAGGGCCATGAACCATTGCCACCACCCCAGAACACTGTGAGGCTCAGAAAGCCATGAACTCAGAGTGGCTGACACGCAGCTTGGCCATCCCGAGTCAGCCTACGTTCCTCCCCTGCTTGAAAAGCCTCCCAAGGCTCCTGAGTGCCGTTGCATAAAAACCAAAGTCCTCACTGGGGCCAAGAGGTCCTCTGTGGTCTGGCTCCTACCCACCTCAGCCTTCTCCCTCTCCCCAGAGTCATTCCCTTCCAGCCACATAAGCATCCCCATCACCAGATCTGGACAAGCCTGGTCCTGCCTGGGGCCTTTGCACCTGCTGTGCCCTCTGCTTAGAACACCCTCATACCGAAACTTTGCCCACTGATGTTCTGTCTCCGGGTACCTAGAACAATGCCCAGCACACAGCTGACACTCAGTAAATACTTCTGAATGTCTGGAGATGGAATTTGCCAGCAGGTTTGCCGGGGAGGGCCAAAGGCTGTGTAAGTGTGTGGTCAGGAGGTGGTTCCAATCCAGGCTTGACTCCTCCTGACCTTCAGGCTCTTGGACAAGTTAATCTCACCCTACTGAGCCTCCAGTTCCTGCCCTAGAGCTGTCCAAAAGCCTGAACACACATCAGTGTGGGGATATTAGGACCATGGCTGTGGCTATGAGACCACATAGAGACCCCCGCTCCCTCCTGCCTGGGTGGAAGGAGGTCTGTGATCTCCAAAGAGATTCCATGACCAGTGTGGCAACCTAGTATTCAGCTCTAAGATCCCAGAATTGATTCTATAGGGTCTTAGGAGATGTGCTCAGCCCAGCCCTGTGACCTTAGGCCAGCCTCAGTTTCCCCACCAGGCTACCAAGGAGCAGACTGATCACCCCGATATCCTTGAATTCTGCCCTTGCATAGGGCAGTGTCCTCTGGCATCATGTTCGAGAGCCAGGACGCTGATGACAGTAACACATATATGATGAGGCTGCCTGGAGTCTCGCCTCCGGGGTCACAACTTGCTAGACCCTCCCCTGCACTCCCACCCCACCATCTCCCCCTCCCACAAGCTGATGTTTAGTGAACATCTACTACGTGCCAGGCTCTGGCCTTCCCACAAATTTTCTCCTCCATCCTCACAATGCCCCCAAGAAGGGGGTCCAGTTTTATAGCTAGGGAAACTGAGGCACTGTGCTATTAAGGGGCCATCTCCTTATAGGGCAGATTCTAGACTGGGCCGCCTTGTGAGATTCCCCCAACAAGTGCTGTCCCCTTTGAAAAGGCCAGGCTGGCATGCGCTGTGGGCCCCTACGTACCAGGCCCAGGAGAGAGAGCTGTGTGTACACACAGGATGCTTCCCCAGCCTGGAAACCACAGTCTGTGGGGGACAGATATGGAAAATGTCACACCAGGACAGGCCAAGACGAGCCATGCTACCAGGCAGGGCACGGGCCACCTTGGCCAGGGATCCACCGCATGCACCACGGGACCTCCTGAGCCCCTTGTCTGGCCTCTCCCCAGACAGCATCTGTCCCACCCACGACATTTCCCAGATGCTGGTTCCAGCACAGAGTAGGAGCACAAGAAACATTCCTTCCACAGCAGTGACCTCATGAGCATCAGAACGTGCCCCTTGCCTCGCCACTCCCAGCCATTACATCAGCCAAGCCGTGGCCACCTGCGGCCTGAGGCTTCTGCTGATGACGCCTGGTGCGCACAGGTTGAACGCCTTGTGGTTTACACAGGCTGGTCTCCTGCAGGCCCAGTACTTCAGTTTATAAGGCTGACCTTGGCCCTGATCTCTCACTCCACCTTCACGAACACTCAGGTGCCACTCTCCTCCTGGGCTAGGGCCCCTGCTTGCCACGCAGAGGGCCATCAGCTGCTAGGTGGGGCTGAGAGCTTGTCACAGGGACACACGCAGCAACCCCAGACCCTGTTCTCATCCAGGAGATGAGGAAACCCCAGGCACCACTCCTACCATCTCTCCTGAGAGTGCAGAAGGTCCTCACTCGGGGCTCAGGGGCACAGGCAGGAGAGGCAAGTGGCCTGGCAGACAGAGCCTGGAGGGGGTGGGGGTGCTGCAAACGACCTTCCGAAACGCACTGATGAAGATGCAATTTGGGGATGTGACTCAGCCGCCCGACGCACAGGCCAAATTCAGCCGTGTGTCCGCCATGCTCCTCCTTGCCTGGCGGCCTGGTCCTAAGGTGCCCTGGGCAGGGAGGGGTTGGGGGGATGGGTACAGGTGGCCTCTGGGAGGGAGGGAGGCGGGGGCTTCCCGGGGCTCATGATGTTAATGTATACCTAGCGCTTATTGTGGGCTTTATTGAGCTCTTTATCAGAATTATCACACTTAATCCCCATTGCCACTCAGTGAGGCAGATGGCAATCCTGCTCCCATTTCACAGATGGGAGACAAGGCTCAGAGAGGTTTAGCACCTTGCCCAAGGTCAAAAAGCCAGGAAGGGCAAGAACTAAGTTGGTGCCATCTGGGGGGCAGTGGGTGGCAGGATCTGCCAACTTCCCTCTTGACAAGCCACCATCTGGAAAGGGAGGCAGCCGGTCCTGCCCTTGAAGGACCACAGAGCTCGAGACACAGGCATGGTGGGTGCCTGACCCTTTCCGTGATCTCAGAGGACACAGAAGGACAGAGTGGCCTGCCTGAGATTCCATAAAAGGTGGCAACTTCTGCGGTCTGGGTGGGACCAGAGGGCCCAGGGGACAAGAGACCCCACACCTTCCCAGGTCTGCCTTCCCCTCCCCCACTGCAACTGGGCCTCAAGCTGGGGTCCCTGGGCCCCTCAGAAATTCCCAAAGAACCAGGAGCCCCTCTGAAACTCTGGCCAAGGTTTAGATGTCTACGGAAGGGTGTGTTTTTCTGGGTGAAGGCTGTGGGTTTGCCAATGAGTTCTAAAAGGTTCGAAACACGCTGTTGAGCTGCATCTGGTTTTGAGGGTCCCTGGAATCGCCAAAACCACCTAACATGTCTGGGGCATGAGACCTCTGTTCACTGAAGGCTGGGATGGGAGGATGAGCTGAGCCCCCGCTTTCACACCATCCCAAGAGATGCTCTGGGAATCTTGTGAGCCACACAGGGCAGGGGGCCCCCACGTGGACTCCTGAGGAGTCGGAGGAGGTAGGCAGGTGGCAGGGAACAGGGCAGCTGGCTCCTCCAAGGCTTCCCACCCAACAGAAATATAAACTGGCCAGACCCCAAAGGTCCTTGAGTGAGTCCTTTCACAAATGACGAGTTGGTGCAGTGGCGGCCTGGGAGGGACCCTGGGCGTCCTAGCCGGGATGAAGTCACTGCCCTCTCCTCAGCTGCCTCTTCAGTAAAGGGAAGACTCTGTGCCCCCCCGCAGCAGGTCAGCGGCCAGGATGGAAGTGAGATCTCACGCGGAAAATGCTCTTCGCGCGGTCGCGGGTACGCTTCTGGCGGCGCTGTTGCCCAGTGCCGCACTCCGTCCTTCAGAGCTGGGCAAGAAGGTGCCCCCTGCCTGTCAGTCTCCAAGGCAGAGCCCCTTTGGGGCGAAATGCCCACCCCACCACTTCTAGGAACCGTGGCCAGAGCATCACATGGCGGAATCTTCCAGGATGTGTGGGTAAGCTGTGGGGCGTGTGTCCCTGTGGAGGGTGGGTAAGGACCCCAAGACACCCCACCCACCAGCACTCTTCTGGCCCTAGCTCTGAAGGGTGGACAGGATCCACTTGCCCTCCCAGCCCTGAGCTGCCCGGAAGTGGGTACAGTAAGGCACGGACTGCCCAATTCCCTTGGGTGCACCCCCGCCCCCATCACCACCAGTCAAGAACCTGCCAGCAGTCAGCAGGGTGCAATTAGCCTGCCCGGCTCTCCCCATGGCTGCCTCCAACAGCACCCTCCGCTCTGACCCATCTCCATCAGCATCTCCCATTTGGCCCCCAGCCTCCAGCACTCACATCTGCAGCCCTGCCCTCCAGGACAGCCAAGGCAGTGCCCTGTCTGGGGTACCCCAACCTCTGTCCAGGGACAGCTGGGAGACCCGGCTCCCTGGCCCTGCAGGGGCGACCCTGACGGCAGAATCTAGGTAGCCGTGGTGAGGGTCTCCTCCCTCCTATTCCCAAGTCAGTCCCAGGTCACTGCCTTCACCCCAAGAGCTCTCCCCACCGGATCTATGGAGTTTGGAGACTCACTGCTCTACCCCCGCCAAAGTGAACCCAGTACCTTCCCCCTCCGGAATGGGGGGTCCGTGAATCTCCACTCACTCAGGCAGTGCACATACATACATTCCCTCCTCTCTGTGTCCCTTGGGTGCCAGACCCTACGGAGACCTCTGTCCTGGCCCCTGTCCTGAACCGCGTCCCCCTTCGGGACGTGCCTCCCTCCTTGGGCGCTCCCGTCCGTCCCACCCCGTACCTGCAGGGCTCGGCTCCCACGGGCAGAAGAGGCTGGAGGGGAGAGGGTCCCGCGCGGCCGCAGACCCTCGCGTGGGGGCCGGGGCCGCAGACGGGGCGGGCAGCAG